TTTCGATTATGATTAAATCCAAGGGCGGAAATTCTTTCTTACGCTTCTCATCATAACTGTCATTCTCACTAGAAGCCAACCATATATATATATGTGTGTGTGTGTGTATGTGTGTGTGTGTGTGTGTATATATATATATATATATCTTGAAGGGTTCAAACGAGAACACCTCTGTTTTACAAAAATGCGATAAAATTTATAGGCCTTTGAATTAATTAACTTGTAATAAAAATTAGAATAAACGAAAATAAATTAGTATTTATCAACATTTTCTATTAACTTAGATTTGTCCTTATTCCTTAAACGTTGCTAGTATGATTGAAGACTTTTTATGTTGATGTATTCGTTGTCGATAATGATGTGATAATAATATGATAATGCTTTGATAAATCAAAAGTTTTTTATGATGTAATTTTGTTGTGATAATGCATGATAGAGTTGTGATAATCGAAAATTGGTGATGTTCACGACCATAATCATCACTCTATACTCATTATGTGATTTTGTTGTGATAATAATATGATCATTATTTGATACATTGTGATTGGTGAGTATATTATCTATACATGATTTCAGGGACAAGGAAGTTATCAAGATTACAGATAAATACAAAATCACCTGATTATCCTTAATAGTTTATTTTATTTTCTTCTAACTTTAATTATGGGTTAAATATGGAGGTTCATAATTGTTTTCGTATTTTCAATAAACAGATATGCTCTCGTTTGAACCCCTCCATATATAAGTTTGAGAACCGTGAAAACTGATCTAAGGCTTAATTTGATTTTATCCTATGGTTTTAATTTAAAGATGTTTTTAATTAGAAAATTTGCATAATCGTCATTTTATAGGCTCAGGCTCAGCTGCTGTCTCTAGCTGAACAGTGAACATCAAAAAACGTTGACGCTGAAAGACCATAACCTCAGGTGGTGCAACGAAATGATCAAAAAGAGAATAAGTCCCCACAGGATCTCAAACGTCACCATCAATGGACAGATGAAGGATGGTGAACTTCTCATCTCTATGGTCATATTTAGAGAGAACCAAGAGGCTGTCACCGAGTATCCTTCTTATCTCGGGGAGTACGGATTTGATGAATGGTTAGAGATATAACAAGCCATTCAACGCTAAAAGTCCAAGCACAAGCCAAAGAATCGAAGACATCCTGAACGAACTCTTCAAGAAGGTGTCCAAGTTTGTTGTTGTCCCTCCTGTGTCTGAGAAGCCTCTCTCAAGAAGAATAAACCTTTCATATCATGAAGATGGACCTTCCAATAGGAATGAACACGAGATGAAATTCTCATTGGAAGAAATCCTGAAGGATCGAAAGAAGCCAAATATCTCAAAGTTGAACCTGACACTGTGCATGTAAATCCTGAGTATGGATTAATTTTCATTGACTATGATGGCGAATACATCTTCCAGCGAGTATTTAAGTTCCATCTCTGCCCAATAGACCATCTGGAGTATCTCAGGTCTTGGCTCGACAATGACTTAGCTGGAGAGGTGATGAATCGCAGGATCAAAAAGGAGATAGTAAGACGAAAGAAGCTCGGAGAAGATATACCAAGTTATATCGACTTTAGTGACTTAGAATGGATATCTTTCTATCTTGTAATATCTTGTTTTCCTTTCTTTTCTTTCAGTGTATAATCTATATGTAATAGATCTACCATGTACTGAAAAATGACTTGTATTATTTATACATGAAATCTTCAATGTCACTAAAAAAGATCATTGAAAAGATTAATAGAGACAAGTATCTATGAGTTCCAGTTCTCTTTCATTCACTGACAACTTTCAGTCAGTTAATATCCTTTACAAACTTAAGTAAATTTACATAAGTATATTGTATCACTGAAAAAGATCCCAAAATAGTTAAAAGAGACAAGTATTTTATTTGTACCTTTTTCTTACTAATATAACATAAGCAATTTTTTTATGTTGCTTTGTCATCATCAAATAGGGGTAGATTGTTGATTCTCTCTCTCATTGATTTGATGATGGTCCCTTTTATCTATTGAAGTATATAGTTTCTATCATTCAGTTTCAACGATCTTCACTGAGTTTGTTTAGTGATCGTTGAACGTTTATTGTAAATCGTTCAAAGACTGTTATACTTCAAGAAGACAAAATTCACACCACATATCCCTCGGTAATATCGAAGACAGAAGCTGAAGATTGGAGACCAGCAAATTCGTGATCTGAAGCGGTATTCAGTGATTACAAGCTCGTCTACAAATGTGTGAAGTCGCAAGTTTCAGCAAACACTGAAGAGATCTTTCACCGTCATCCCAATATTCAACGATCAAATGAAACTTGTCAAGCAAGATTGTTTTTTTCTTGTCCTCCTAAACACAAAGGACAAACTCATGCATTTCTAAAGTATAGTACAGTACGGAGCCACTCCGTTGACTCTAACATGCTTACCTACTTTATGAAAGAGGATTGTTCACATACATCCAAAAGTCTGCCAAATCTGAACAAAGAACAAGCTTTCCTCCAAAAGCTTGATACGTGCTTTGTACCTTCTAAATTGCAATTAATGCAATGGGTATAAATAGCTAAGTGTTTTCTCTCTCATTTATCATCTTCCTCACTAAGAACTTACCAAATAAGTTACTTCTCTCACTCCTCTTTGTCTAAGAGAAAGAACCACTTAAACAAGTGAAGAGCACTTTTTTATTCTTCTTTATTTCTTGTAGCAAATTTTTTCTCTTTGTTATTTGTAATTGTGTGTATCTTTGATTGTTTAGATAGGTTATTTACCTTATCTCTTCAGCAAACAATATGTAAAATTTGTATTGATTTTTTTTTATCAATATATAAGTTTTAAAAATGAAAGTTTATGTGTTTGTGTTCATCTCCCCTTCCTTTCTACAAACTGATAATATCAAACCAAAAGAATCTATTGAAACTCGTATGTAAGTAAGGTATAAGATAAAATGTATGGTAACATTACTTTTATCCAAACTGGGTAGAGGAACTGTTTATGTGGAAACCCTTGGAATGTTGTTTAAATAGGTGTAGTAAATGAGCAAATAGACTACATACTGTAGTAGCATAATTCAAAATATGTTTGAGTTTAAAATTTTCAAGACTTCAAAAAATTACCTAAGAGCATTTTAGGTGACTTTGTCACATCAGATTTCTCTGTTTATTACATAAGATTTCTCATATCCACATCTTATAAATTTTCTACCCCTAATTATTGAACTCGTTCTAACTTATGTTCTATTATTTAATTGGGCTGAGTTTCACCATTTCGATGAAGAACATGCTCGTGTATATGAACATTCCCCTTCCGCGTTGACATTTATTGTTTTCTTCCAATGGTGCAAAAATTTATGAATTAGCCTACTAGATTTAAGAATCTTTCGTTAGAATTGATCTAAGATACATTTTCATCTGCTATAATATTATCCAGTGATTAACATATATTTGTTTCACATGTATTTGATTCACAATGTAACCTTTTTTGCGTGTTTATGAAACAAAAAATACACGTACATAAGTTTTACATTGTGAGACTAATACATATGAAACAAACACATTGTGAAACAAATATATATTAATCAATACATTAAAAATACTACACTTAAATGGAAATAAATCATGTGAAACATAACCTTAAGGTAGAAGTTCTCACGTCTCATAAATGTTGAAGTTCTCAAATGACTAAACCTTATATTTATTTATATTATTTTGTCTTATTTGTATATCTCACATCTCTATCATGCTTTAGGAGTTGTTTGTTTACCACTTAATAGCTCTATTAAGAGGTAGCATCTGAATCGTTAACAAGTGAATCTTGTTTGACAAAAAAATGTGTCTTTTAATGATTCTAAAACTCTCTGAATGATTATGTATCATGGGTCTCCCTTAACCATTCAGCGTCCTAATTTCATTTAAACAATTATTGAATAATTATTATTTCATTTTACACTATATCATGAGAGCCACTTAGGGGTTGTTTACTTGCGGCTTAATTAGGCTTATTGGTCTATCTAGCTTATTCGCACAGCTCATTTGGGTTGTTTACTTACGGCTTATTCGCACAGAACATGACTTAATCCCACAGATAGAAATGATGTGTTGTCTCCATTCAACCACAAAAATGACACCCCTACCCCTTATTTAAAGTATCACCTCCTTCCCATACGAGACACCCCATTGTTGGCCTCTTTATGATTTTTTGTTTTGATGTTCAAATAATTAATATTGGGGGGTAAATCGGTCACGGTTATTTATGTTATTCAGACTGTTGGTTCATATAGAAAAAATAAACAAAACACCCATTTAACCAAACAGACAAATTTATCTGGATAGACAAATTTATCAATACATTACTTAATAAAAAATTTGATAAAGGACCCCTTAATCATTCTGCAACCGTCAAATAACCCCTTAGTTTGTCATGTTTTGAAATGATCGAAAAATGTTATATATAATAATTATTTATTATATAAAAAGAAAATTTTGGATTGGTTTAAAAAGAATTCGTCGCCTGAGAGATTCGAACTCTCGCGGGGAAACCCCATGTACTTAGCAGGCACACGCCTTAACCACTCGGCCAAAGCGACTTCATGTCTTCACCTTTTCACTTTCTTTTATATAAACCATTTATATATTAATATATTTATTTTAAAATTTAATTGTAATTATTTTTTTAATATTTTATCGTTTCATAAATGTTGTTTTGCTTTAAAAGTGTTTAGTGATTGAAGTTTCATATAACAGTTTAAATTTTAAACCGACGTCCGAATAAATCCATCGTAATTTCAAGACATTTGAATCTAATTCGATTTCTCACCAACAAATTCATTTGAATTCGGAAAATATTGATGTGGAAATTGTATTTTTCTTTCTTGTCCTAAATCTCTATTTGGTATTCAATGAACGAAAATTTTAAGTGCCCGTTTCTTTATGCAATAAGTTTATGATTACGCCTCAGGTCGTTACCACTTAGCAATCTCAGTTGGCGAAAATGCATACAGTTTGTCTGATAATTTCACAAAATCTCTTAGAATAAAAAAATTGACAAACAAACAAAACTGTACTTTGATTGGTTATTATATGATTGAAAATATGTATATGAACAAGAATCTGAACGAAAATCATATAAAATTCTGAATCATTTGTCGAACTTCTTCGATCACAAGCCACGCTTTATGTCCGCCAATCACCTCTGCTTGCATCTCCCCATCTTTCCACAACTATATAAACGCAACAAACAATATTCAAAACATAAAAATGATCGAAACTTATTTAAAATGACGTAAACTCACCTGAATTGTTGGCATTTTCTGCGGTCGACATACATACAATAACGAAACCAACAACATTGTTAGAAACAAAATTCAAAGAATCATTAAAAACCATTAAGATTTGCCAAATTCAAAGTGTGGAAATCGTACGTACGGAGATATTTCCTCGTTTCACGAGCGCTTGTGGTACATTGTTCACATCCACGCAATAAAATTTGAACCTATTTGTAATTCACGAGCCAAGAAAGAGCAAGTCAACACCCGACCAAACGATCTAAACAATGCCAAGTCTTGAAACAAAATAAAAACGATCCGTTCGTTGTTTTAACCAAACTCGAACAAACGAAACCATACTTGGTGTCATATTCGGCTGCCAATTTCTCCAATTTCGGCTTCAAGTATATGCATTTTCTACACCAAGCAGCCATCCTACACATAAACACACATAATTTTCGACACCCAATCTTTAAAGCCCGAAACAAATAATCGAAACAATCGGGATTTGCAATTCTTTATATAAAAAAGAACACGAATATATATACCAATCAATGATGATGGGTTGAGAGGCTTCTTTTGCCTGTTCCAAAATACGATCCAAATGGTCAGCATCAGTAATAGGTTCCAATTCCACGAACGCAGGTCTTGATGGATCCCAAAAGGCTGCAACTTTACAATCTCTTTTCTCGATTTTCTTGAATCGATGATCCATTTTTCTTCGATCGAAACCAAACCCACAAGTTTTTATGGCATTCGAACAACACCCATTGCTCCAATTTTGCTGGTGTGGCTGCTGCTGGTGCTCTCTGTGATGGAGTTCTCTGTAAAGAATATGTGAATTTGGGGCTAAAATTGACATTTTTGGTGGTGTTTTTTTGGGCAGATAGACGTCTGAATAGATAAGATATTTTGGGCCGATGGAAATTTTATTGAAAAATTATAATTTTCTTGAAATACTTTGGCGAGTTTCGAGGCTTTGGGATTCGAGTTGGATCTTTGGGTTGATGGGGGAAAAGGGTTGAAAATGGAAAGATGGTAAGCTTATCCAGAAGATGAGTTGGAGATTGAATCTCGTATAAATTCAGGGTCCATATATAACATACTTTTTTTATATATGTATATGTACTACTTGTGTAATGTAGCGGGACACATCTCAATTTTAATGTTATATTTTATTATTTGTTTCTGTCGATATTATAATACGATTTTATGTATTTTTAGAAAGCAATAATGATTTTATTTTTGAATAAAATATAAATTTGAAGATATCATAAAATTTTGAAAAAAATATATCAATGTTAATATCAAATCAACTATTTAAAAGTTCTCATTTTTTACGTAACTTCTTTAATTTATTTTTTTATTATAATTTAATTTAAGTTTAATAACGAAATAATTTATTTTTGGTTTAATAATATAACATTTTATAAAGATAATAATTAAGTATTATGTTAGAACTCAATGATTATCCTAATTATATTTTAGATCTTTTATATTTAAAATGAGATGTTTATCTTGTATTTGATTATGTTTATCTACAGTTAGTTACAAGAATTCAGATATGGAGCTTTAATAAGTTGTACTTTCGCACAATCTACTTGCAATCTCGATTTTTAAGTAATACGCATTAATAAACAGTACTTTACGCATAAAAAGTGGTTTTTAATAGTTTTTATCAAATGCTTTATAATATAGTATAGATGTATATGTATATAAAATATAAACCTAATATAACTGATATTTATTACACTGGGTTTAATCATTTGATAACTCTAAAATATGTTAATTTAATATAACTGATATTTATTACAAGGGGTTTAATCATTTGATAACTCTAAAATATGTGAGATCCGTGATTAAGTCACTAGTTTAAAATAGCATTTTTTTTTTAGAAATTCATACTTATCTTCTTCTCTCTCCTAATATTTGTATTAACATACACATTGTGTATACAAGGTGAACACTATAAGAAAAATTAATAATTTTTTTTTACTAGAATGTTCACACTGTATTCATAAGCTGTATGAGATTTAGAGATTGTTTGTTTACCTTTTAGTACCTCCATTAAGAGGCATCATTTGAATCAATACAAGGTGAATCTTATTTGGACGGTCGTTTGTTCAAGGACTCTAGTCATAACAAAATGCATAACAAAGAGACTAAATCCATAATTAATTGAGTTTAGGGATGGTAGTCATAATCTATAACATACTACAGGGACCAAATCTGTAATTCACACACACACACACACACACACATATATATATATATATATATATAGAGAGAGA